GAAGATCATTTCGGGCGTAGCCTTGAAGGCAGGCCCACGCGAGGTTGGTGAGAGCAGTTGCGCGGTCTGGATGACCGACCGGACACTGGTTCAGAACCAACTGAAAATGCTCTATAGCATCGTTCAAGTAAGAAACCCTCTCGCGTCTCACGTATCTGGCAACTCGTACGTGGCCAGCATCTGTGTCTCGAGCAATTTCGCAGTCTACGAGGGACTATAGTTGGCGTTCCGTCACCAAGACCTAACAGGACAGAACGCGGGGTCACTCACATCAAATAGTGCGCCGTTTTGATCATCGCAAGCATGTACAATGGCAACCTTCATTGTGACGCAAGGTTGGACACCGCGCACGGGTGGGAAGAATAGATCTACGAGATGTCAGTATATGTGCATGAATGAGAAGCAAATCACTCACCAAATGGGTGATCTCCATGATCGAGTAGCTCATGCCACGACATTTGAAGTTTCCCGATGACCTCTCCACCGCCTAGCATTCGACCAAGCTCATAGGATGCCCTGATCTCTATTGACAATGCAGGCGAGGTATTTGATGATCTATAAACCGATGATCAGTTCTCGCATCACGTCACAAGATCTCCATGGACGTTACAGAGTTACAGTATCCCCCCACGCTACAGATTCATCAGACGATAGGACACTGATGGCTGATTTCCAGCGTCTCCTCGAGTCGACATTGATGGACACGTAAATGCCAGCGGGAATGCGCCAAGAGGGGACTTGAAGATTCTTTCCGCTGATGACTGTAGATAGAGTGTGAGGATCATGAAACAGATCCAAAGATAATATGGAGGGACTCGCCTTCAAGTCTGATATATTGGCTTTCTGAGCTACCGGGTATGATGTTGCGATGGAGCAAAATGATGAGGATCGAGGATGGGTAGAGTGGTAGACGGGATGAATGGGAAGGCAAGATGGGTGTAAGGATATGGGAAGTGTGGACAGAGTTCGGCCGAGTGGGAGATTGAGGCCTAAGGTTCAGGTCACGCTGCACGTGTATTTCCATATTGTCGGTGGATGTTCGGCACGATAGACGCTGGTGTGATCGCACAAGCGCTGGCAATGGAGATCACCGACCAGGATTAGCAGAAGAATCTGTGTGAAAGTAGAGAATGGCATGAACAGTTTGCGGCGAAAGTGGTTTGCTAACGTTGAAAGGGACATGCGAGTCTCAGAGTGATTGCTGCTCCTGGACTTGTATCGTACTACTCAGTTAGCACACAAAGACAAAATGTAGAATTGAGTATATTTTGTGAGGTAATGACAAAGGCAAGAAATGTCTATTTCGCTGAAACGGGCCAGGTGAAATTGACGCGGCCCTGCCGCGCCTGCCGCGGTCGTGACGCGCCTGTGACGCGGCACTGTAACAAATTCCTATGTACAAATTATGTTTACACAACTTCATATCGCATTCGAAACACTTTGAATCATCGTTAATGATCAACATATGAGTGTCTGCCTGCGTACAGGCTCTATAGTGCTGTATTTATGGCGCTGGATCAGTTCAAAAATGTACACACACTTAAGTCACACACACACACGCATACAACACACACACAGTAGTTCAACACACATGTACTGTAGTATTGCAACACATTCAGTACTACAGGTGCATTTTTAAGTCAATTGTTCTAACTAAACTGGCTTGAATCATTGGGCTGCTGCAGCCCTGGCAAATATCCGAGTCTCACCAGACTCGCCAACCAAGTCATCAGATGACGATCGAGGAATTGACTCGGAGGATATCCATCCCGTTTATAAAATTTCTTCATGGCTTGGCAAGCCCAAGGTATCCAATTCGGCTTTCGTCAACATTGGGGCAGGCTCCATGATCAGGGCCGCCGACAACTGCTGAGCTGTCTCCTCGATGAGATCAAAAGCAAGACAGAATGCTGTTGCATTCTTCACCGTCTGAAGCAGCATTTTCCAGCACTCCGGATTGACCCTTCCAATTTCTGGCCCAAGTTCCTGGAAGCGCTCAATAGCTTCATGGAATTTTTGAGGATTGCGGCCATCAAGGAGGAAACGAGCCATTGAGTTCCACCATAGTTGCCGCCAATCAATGAAACATGCGGTGTTGTCAGTGCAGTATGGTGAATGCGTGACAATGGGTGGCTCCTCGCAGGCAACAATACGGTTATGCTCATTGAGAAGTTCTTTTAGATCTACGAAGGCATTCCAGACTTCAAACCCAAGTCTCCTTCGCACTGGTCCTGGAATATCACGGATGCGAAATTCGACGAGACGGCGAAAAGCGGGAACAAAGAACTTTGAAATTGAAAATTCGAGGCAGAGTGCGAGAAGTTCGTATGGTTTGTGTTGAAATTGACATTCATGGAGGTGATTGATGGCGACATCACGAGCCTTTTGACTCATGAACTTGTTGCTGAAACGAAGAAGGTCGAGGACATCATCATGAGTGGGACCTTCAGGTTTCCAACTGCGTAGTCCTACATTTAGAATAAATGCAGTACCTCAAGAACTGTCTTACCTGTTGTATGCAACTGAGAGGAACAGTTCGAACATATTCATGCTGAGTTCGGGAATGATAATTGGATGATCATCGCTTGAGCCTTCCATGCCTACTGTCAGCGGCAATTGACTTCCAACAGAAAACATCTCCTCAAACACAATGGATGTGCGTGATAATTGAGTTGCATGGACCTTGAACAATGCATTTTCAACCTGCATTTTGACCGTTAGTCTACAGTATTGTCAAATGAAAACATCTGACCAAGAAAATATGAGTACCATCGAGTATATAGAAACGGCGGTGTCGAAACCTAAGAAGACTTGGGGCCCCAAACATGATGGTCTGCAATTGAAGTTTGAATTCAAGTCGGAGCACAAAGGACGTAAATGTAGTGTACCGCTTTATCACCTCTATTCACCAACCATGGATCTTCCAGCTCTACCAGAACACGAGAATCGATGGCCACAAAATGTCTATACTGCGGAGGGTATCATCAGCAATATATACAATGCTGCAATTAGAATACTTCGGTCAAATGACGCAGAACCAACCAGAGTGGCGTACCACTATGATGCACTGTCCACAGAGGCCCTACCTTTGCTTGAAGCCATTGGAAGTGATACAAGTCCTGCTGATTACCAGCTTCTGCATGACTGGCTACTAGTATGTGCTAGGCTTATTGGGGAGGTAGCCGCAATGCTCAAGGATATCAGCGGAAATCTTCATGTGTAAGTCTTTCACTTGCCTGACACTCTGCTATCTAAATATACTTCAATCCAGGGGAAATGCTGAACGGGCAAATGTGATAATCCCGGAGCTTGTGACTCTGGGCCATCAGCAATGTCGACTTGGGCGTCGGAAGAAAATCATTAACTTCGATTTCATCAGTAAAGCCCTATCTAACCAACACCACATCATGCTGCCAGATCTCGCACAAATCCTCCAAGTGTCCCGCACTACTCTGTGGAAATTTATTCGTCAACATGGCCTAGAAAAACACTTTACAGTAATTAGTGATGCTGATCTCGATCAACTTGTGAGGACTTTCAAAGAAAGTAAACCAGAATCAGGATTCCGGTACCTTGTTGGCTTCCTTCGACGCCAAGGTTTTCGAGTTCAGCAGCATCGCATTTGGCAGTCCCTGCGCAGAGTTGACAGGCTGGGACAAAGGCTGAGAGAACGACGTGTTACCAGAAGACAAAAATACCGAGTCGCTCGACCAAATGCACTATGGCATGTAGATGGTCATCACAAGCTCATTCGATGGGGCTTCGTCATCCATGGTTTCATTGACGGGTATTGTCGCACTGTAAGTCAATTAATTTATAAAAGTGACAATACACCTTATGCACCAACAGATAACAGCACTACGAGTCAGCACAAATAATCGTGCATCAACTGTGTTGGATTTATTCATCTACGCAAAGGATGAATATGGCATCCCATCTCATATTCGTGGAGATCGTGGCGGCGAGAATATTCAGGTTGCCACACACATGATTGCGACAAATGGTCACAATCGTGGCTCGTTCCTATGGGGATCGTAAGTGGAGTCCTCTAGAAATTTACTTGAATAATAATGCATGTTAGATCAACACGGAATTCTCGCATCGAACGATTGTGGGTTGAAGTAGGCACACAGTTTGTACGCCGGTGGCGGGGATTCTTTACCAGGCTCGAACGACTTCATAAACTCAATGTTGACAAGCCTGGGCATCTGTGGCTCCTCAGTGTGCTCTTCTTAAATGCGCTCAATGATGATTGTCGACAATTTCAACAAGAATGGAATTTGCATCCTATTCATGGTTCTGATACCAGGGATCGAAGCCCTCAGGTCAGTGAATATTCAGTAGTGCAGAATTGTTATCTCATAACTATGAAGGATATGCGCCTTCTAGGACAGGCATCATTAGGTATCTATGAAGACGAGTTCGAGGGTATCTGTCCTACAGTTCTGCAGCACTATTATGGTATTCATGGCCGGGAGGTTATCCGTCATCGAAATCAGACAGGTGCTGGCCACCCAAGTGACGAGGCAGATGAACCAGCCGAAGATGATATTATTGACCGCATTGAGCAGGAACAAGCAAATGATGTCCAGCATGATGCTGTAGAGGTTCCAGACAGCAATACTCCTTTTCGGAATGAAGAGGATGAAAGTATGTTCTTCGAAATACTTGAGGCGGTTGTCATGGAGGGTATTGTACCGGAGGGATACAATTTACGGGAGGGTGAAGATGAGTATGACAAAAACACAAGTGAATACCTACGAGTTGGAAGGCGGAGGGAGCATCACGTGGAGATATCATTGGCTGACCCTATCTGGAGAACTCGCTCAACATTATGGGCTCAGGCATCTAGCGTTCTTGATCACTTTGAAGCAAATGAATTTTTTTGAGTCGCTTAAGTAGTACTTTACAAAATTTGGAGGGACCCAGGACCATTGTATACAAATTCTGCACCTCGCCGACTAATTTGTGTTCCGGTCCTCTCCTCCATCTCACTTAGAATGCCGAAGCCAGCATTTTGCAAGGGCAATCCTGATGAATCAGTACCCTGCTATTGTGAAGAGTACTCGGCACCCACCAATATTCCAGTTGGCCAAAAAGAGCTTTGCGCTGAATGTTTGCATGGGAAGAGCAAACATCCGCGACCTCAACCACCTGTACTGCCAGTGGCTGAGCTACCAGCAGTCACTACTGCAAAGGAACGAGCTGGAGTGACAGCTATATTCAAGCAATCACTCGCTCGACGAGCTGGACAAGGTAGTCAGAATACAACTACTGTGACGGCTGCGAGAGATGAGGTGATGGCAGGATTTCACCCAACTGCAAAGCAGAAATTCCCAGTGAGTAATTTACCTAACTTTTGCGTGTTCGAAATGACTGGTATTGCCTAGGGCAGGATTGTATCCTCGAGACAGGCCAGCTCTTCAAAGCAAGGTCATGTCCCGATCAAAGTTGGTGCCATTGCCATCTTGGTCAATTACCTTGATGTATGTTAGTTCGAACAAGCTATGGCTAGTATGAGCTTACCGGTGACTGAAAGGACAAAGGAGAGTTGTTGACCACAATTCCGCCTGTCAAGACAGAGATGTCAAAGTTCAAGCGAAGGGGATGTGCTCACTTTGATGGAGATCAGTCTGAGGACGGCGGCAGTGTGGATTTCAGCTTTTGCTTGGACTGGACATTTGAGGAAGTTGATGCTTACATTCAAAGACTATTTCCAAAAGTCTTTGAATACCTTGACTCTGTAAAGGTTGGTGATGTAAAGGGGAAGGCTACAGACAATGGGGCATCTGAATGGGTGTTAATTTCAAAAGAGAACTGCAGGCTGAGTGTCGCACCTGAGCCCTTCCCAACTGGCAAACATCTCGAACGGTACAAAGGCAGAAGCAATGCCCCACTTCAACAGACAAATATTTTTATCGGTGAGTCATTAATAAATTCGTCCTAAATTTTCTAATCAGTGTATGCACAATGATAGGTATCCGGAAATTCATACCTGAGCATACTTATGCACGCTGGGACCCAGACATGGTCACCCTTGGCAGCACTTAAGCGCCCGTCTCACGATCTATCAGGTGGGGTTTCTATGTTGCAGCAAACCCACCTGTGAGGTATGCCTCTCCATAGAGGCTCCCTGTAATTGCCGCAAGAGGTCCATGCCCTTTCCTTAGTGTACTGCCTCCGTACTCCCAGAGGTTCGCGAGGGTAGGTATAAACCACGCGAGGCCATGCGGCACCCTCGCTGTTTAAAATAGTTAGTTTATATGTTTTATCACACATGTTTCGAACACAGTGAATCTCAATACTATCATGATGGTGCGACAGACAATATATTTGGTGTGAAAGGGACAGAGACATTAACAACTCAAAGAAGACATGGACGTGAAACGGACACGATAAGAGATCCAAACCACGAAGAAGAAAATACACTCGTTATCCCTCTCAATGCTGTGCCATATCAATGATTAGTACATGCCGTGACGGGAGGCTCGTGAGGATGTAATGGAGGTTTGCGAGGGTCGAGTAGGCGCTCCTGAGGGTCACATTAATTTGTGAACATCAGAGGGAGGCTCGAGAGGCTCACAGATCATGTTTGTTCCTGCAGCTGCGAACTGAAAAGCTCATCTATTTCTCCTTCGTCCTCGGTAGTGGCATTGCTGACTGCGTCTTCATCATGAATAGTGCCGTCCTTAATAGTGGTGATCTCTGGGACAAGGTCACTATGATCGGGTTCAATGACCGGTGAACGTTGCTGAATCGCCTTCAACCTCCAGGAGGGTGGTGCAAGTGGGACTTCTACGAACACACGGAGTCTGCGCCGATTAGATGATGTGGCGCCAGATTTTGAAGAGGAAGCGTTGGCCAGACGGGTCAGGCCAAACCGATCAATCCGTCCATTGGCAAACCCTCGTCGCCCACGAGTGTGAAGAGAATTTGCTATGGGCGCTTCTCCAACAATGACGGGGACACGTGAGGTCGTAAGACTTTTGCGAGCGTCTGTTGCAACCGATTTAACGGTGAGGGCGTCATTCTTGAGGGCATTCGCAAGTTTGAAGCGCTCATGGATAGTGAGGTCGTGGATACCCTTGCTCTTTGCAAGGGTTGAACGCCTCTCGCCGGGCATAAGGACGTCTTCTGGGTAGTTTTCGAGGATACAGCCACGACGGGCTAGAACGGTAGGTAGGGTCTTCCACGGGAAGTTTCCCCCTCGTCCTTCGAGGGTCCCTGTAACATATTTAGCTGTTCTACACTATGATCTGACTGTGACACTTACCGAGAAGCGCCGTCAACCCTCCAACGATGCAAGGTATACCTTCGAGGAGCCTCCATCCCTCAGGATCACGGACCTCTCGCTTCTCCAACCATTTGTCCAGCACCTCCTGCGCGTCCTCCTTGTAGCGCGATGCCATACGCTCGAGCATGTAGTCGAGCTGGGTAAAATCCATGAATCCAATGAAGGTATAGAAAGAGGGAGGCGTGTAGAGGAACGACATCGATAACACATTGAGAAGATGTGTGCCCATCGATAATTCTAATGATAAATTTGTAACTATGTATTGGTTACAGCTAGGTTACAGCTAGTCAGAGGACACAGAAATGGGCATTTCTCAACATTTCAAAAATGTGCAAAACAGGTCAGGCCTAAGTTGGGCATTTTCCAACATCTCAAAAATGTGCAAAACAGAGCAGGCCTAAGCTGGGCATTTTCCAATTCTTCAAAAATGTGCAAAACAGAGGGGGTCTAAGTTGGGCATTTTCCAACATTCAAAAAATGTGCAAACAGGTCAGGCCTAAGTTGGGCATTTCCCAGCCCAAAAATGTGCAAAACAGGTCAGACCTAAGTTGGGCATTTCCCAACATCCAAAAAATGTGCAAAACAGGTCAGGCCTAAGTTGGGCATTTCCCAACATCTCAAAAATGTGCAAAACAGGTCAGGCCTAAGTTGGGCATTTCCCAACATCTCAAAAATGTGCAAAACAGGTCAGGCCTAAGTTGGGCATTTCCCAACATCTCAAAAATGTGCAAAACAGGTCAGGCCTAAGTTGGGCATTTCCCAGCCCAAAAATGTGCAAAACAGGTCAGACCTAAGTTGGGCATTTCCCAACATCCAAAAAATGTGCAAAACAGGTCAGGCCTATGTTGGGCATTTCCCAACATCTCAAAAATGTGCAAAACAGGTCAGGCCTGAGCTGGGCATTGGGCATTTTCCAATTCTTCAAAAATGTGCAAATCAGAGGGGGTCTAAGTTGGGCATTTTCCAACATCCAAAAAATGTGCAAAACAGGTCAGGTTATGAGCCCCCCTAGGATCCACCTAGGATCAATTTTTCCTAGTTTTTGATTATTACTCCGGTATGTACAAGATATGGGAGTCCAGGACTCCCACCGTGTGCAGGCCTCATACCACTTGAGACTCAGATGTGGGAGTCCAGGACTCCCACCATGTGCAGGCCTCAAATCACCTGAGTATCAAATGTGGGAGTCCAGGACTCCCACTGTGTGCAGGCCTCAAACAACCTGAGTATCAAATGTGGGAGTCCAGAACTCCCACCGTGTGCAGGCCTCAAACAACCTGAGTATATGATGTGGGAGTCCAGGACTCCCACTGTGTATAGGCTGCAACAACATGTGTATCAGATGTGGGAGTCCAGGACTCCCACCGTGTGCAGGCCTCAAACAACCTGAGTATATGATGTGGGAGTCCAGGACTCCCACTGTGTGCAGGCCTCAAATCACTGAGTTCAAGATGTGGGAGTCCAGGACTCCCACTGTGTGCAGGCTTCAACAACATGCATATCCATTATATACTCATAGATACAGTCAGTAGTATCATTGTAAGGTAGGCCTCAAGCACTTTCAGTCAACATCACATGATGTGACTGGGGTGTGACCTACATACTACTCATATGAAAGTTCTCCTTCTCAAACTTGGAGTTACCTAGATTTTTATTTTCTTTGCCCAGTTCCCTAACCATATGAGGAAGGCGCAACTATTAGAAGCGCCGCACCAGCAACTTTTTTTTTTCAAGTCATTTCTTCCACAACTTGTATCTATCTAACTAACCCATCTTGTAGCCCTCGAAATTCTGCATCACCCGCACCAAAATTCGGTTTAAAATAATTGTGTTAGTGTTGACTTTTGCCCTCAACAAAAACTCGTGGTTCCCATGTGCTTTACACTTTTCGTGTGCCTCCTCTACTCTTACCACGACCTCTGGCTACCCCGGTACCTTGCAGGGTGCTTACCCTGCACCCTGTGATGATCCTACACCAAAAATCTCGCTGCCCGGCCCTTCCGTTCTCGATTTATGGCCCCAACATCGATCTGGGCGCCCTTTTAGTGAGGGGGAGGGTAGGTGAGGGTGTAACTTTTTTTCATTCAACTCTCTTGACTAACCCTTCTGGTGTCCTACTCTACAGCATTCTACCATCCTCCCGCACCAAAAATTTCGCTGCCCGGCCCTTTCGTTCTCGACTTATGGCCCGAACATCGATCTGGGTGCCCTTTTAGTGAGAGGGAGGGTAGATGAGGGTGTAACTTTTTTTCGTCCAACTCTCTTGACTAACCCTTCTGGTATCCTACTCTACAGCATTCTACCATCCTCCCGCACCAAAAATCTCGCTGCCCGGCCCTTTCGTTCTCGACTTATGGCCCGAACATCGATCTGGACACCCTTGAGTGACGAGGAGGGAAAGGTGAGGGTGTAACTTTTTTTCGTTCAACTCTCTTGACTAACCCTTCTGGTATCCTACTCTATAGCATTCTACCATCCTCCCGCACCAAACATCTCGTTGCCCGGCCCTCCCGTTCTCGACTTATGGCCCGAACATCGATCTGGACACCCTTGAGTGACGAGGAGGGAAAGGTGAGGGTGTAACTTTTTTTCATTCAACTCTCTTGACTAACCCTTCTGGTGTCCTACTCTACAGCATTCTACCATCCTCCCGCACCAAAAATCTCGCTGCCCGACCCTTTCGTTCTCGACTTATGGCCCGAACATCGATCTGGGCGCCCTTTTAGTGAGAGGGAGGGTAGATGAGGGTGTAACTTTTTTTCGTTCAAACCTCTTGACTAACCCTTCTGGTATCCTACTCTATAGCATTTTGCCATCCTCCCGCACCAAAAATCTCGCTGCCCGGACCTCCGTTCTCGACTTATGGCCCGAACATCAGGGTTAGTTGGGCATAGGGACGAGGAGGAAAGGGTAAGTCTGTAACCTTATTTTTAGGCAACTAACTGCACTAACGCTTCTTGCGTCCTGCTCTATAGGGTTCTACAATCCTCCCGCACCAAAAATCTCGCCGCCCGCACCTCTCGTTCTCGACTTATGGCCCGAACATCGATCTGAGTCCCTTAGTTTAGTTAGGTTAGTGATTAGGTTTAGGGACAGATATGCATATAACTTACTTCTAATGTTAGGGTTGTACTAGCCCAGGCTCTATCACTCTACTCTGCAACGTTCTGCAATCCTCCTGCACCAAAAATATCGCCGCCCGGCCCTCCCGTTCTCGATTTATGGCCCGAACATCGATCTGGGCGCCCTTGAGTGACGAGGAGGGAAAGGTGAGGGTGTAACTTTTTTTCGTTCAACCCTCTTGACTAACCTTTCTGTTATCCTACTCTATAGCATGTTACCATCCTCCCGCACCAAAAATCGCGCCGCCCGCACCTCCCATTCTCGACTTATGACCCGAACATTGTTCTGAGGGGGCTTAAGCGTTATGGAGTGAAACATTGGTCTGTAACTTTTCATCTGCCAACTTTCTGAACTAACGCTTCTATAAACCTACTCTACAGAGTTAGTCGAACCTCTCGCAGCCAAAATCTCGCCACCCGCACCTCCTGGTGTTGACTTATGGCCTAAGTGGGTTTTAGGGAGGAGGGAAAGGTAAGCCTACAACTCTTTTTCAACGAACTTTCTGAACGAACCATTTTATAACCCTACTCGACAGGGTACTACAAACCTCCCGCACCTAAGACCTCGCTGCCCGGACATCCTGTTCCCGACTTATGGCATGATCATCGATGTGGGTGGGCTTGCGCTACGGCGAGGGTAAGGTAAGCCTCTACCCTTTTCTACAGCCTTTGTGAAAACTAACACTTCAATTGTCGTACTCTATAGTGTTTTATGCCCCTCCCGGAACAAAGTCCTCGCCGCCCCTACATCTCACTCGAAAGCTATCACTCGAACTTCACATGCTGCGGAAACGAGAGGTGCAATAACACGACATCACCAGTATGTTATCGGAGGTGGAAAATCATGCAAATCCCGAGGTGACAGAGTACTGGGAAGTATCCATTTCTGGTTCTAATCCGACGTAGGAACGCTGGCTCCTGCAGCAGAGTCTGATTCCGATAACTGAATTTTATCCGGTTTGTAGTGCGTCCGCATGTCTGATTTCTGTCTGAATACTGTCGTAATCGTGTCGTATTAGCATCTGAATATCAAGCTATCGTATGACTATAAGGTCTCCTATGCATCTGCGCCGCTTTCGGACGCTTTCAGTCGTTACTCCTGCCTCTCTTCACCGCGATGTACGGCTCCCATTTCAACTTTCTAGAACACAGGAAGTGCGTGCCACATAACACATGCGTGATATGCACACACGATCCATCTGACGGGAGAATGAGAAATGGTTAAGTTAGCTGTTCACCTGGGAAGATAACATCACATACGGTGCGATGGCGAAACGTGACTTGGTTGAGTTGGGCCGTCGCAGAGAAAATCATTCTGACGTTGTCAAGGTCCAAAGAAACAGTCAACGTTTCAACAGACGACATCACACATCGTATAAACACGGGTCGTCACCAAAGCACCATCAGCATTGAAATCATGCTCTCTATGGTTGTTCGACAGCGAGACGCTGTCACGAGCCGTCAGCATTAGGCAAGCGAACCAAAAGACAAGAAAACAAGATCGTGCGCCGACTGAGAGCGCGACACATCCAGAGCATCATTCAGCATCGAGCCAAAAGAATAGAACACGGCGCTCTCTGAAATCAGGACAAGGCTATGGCATCATCAGCGTCAGGTACGCACACCATAAAACCAGAACACATACCCTGATGACCAGACGCAACAAGTGCGCCATCAGGGTTGGGTATTAAGCGGACCCAGTGAACGAGAACACCCACTGACTGGGAGTGCAACGTGACAAGCGCATCATCAGGGTCGAGTAAGTGAGCCAACAGACGAGAAACGCACGACCTGAGAGCGGCGCACGGTCAGAACATCATCAGCGTCGGATAAGCAAGCCAACAGGCAATACCACCTTGCTACGGGACCTGGTTTCATCGCTCCGAAGGTCGAATGTGAAGGCAACTTTAGGTTGATGGCGTTGCTGCTCTTATCTAGCGTGTGTTTGAGTGGAAGTTGGACTTAGCGGAATATTTAAGACACCTCACCTTCAAATAAGCAGAGTGTATTCACAGTCGAGGACACCATATACACAGACCCAAGCGGGCGGTGCCGCTAGGAGGATGGGAAATCTGCTTGCGAGTTCGGTCAGTTAGTGGGCAGGAATAAATAAGAACGTGTTAGGGCTTGAATGCTGTGCTCGACGTCGTCGGTAGCACGTTTTCACATGATCTGAATTCTCCATCCTTAACAAATTTTGGCTGGACTTCACGAAATAGCCACCTACCGTTGGATTCTCGCACCATTAACCTAGTGCTATAGTAAGCACTGTCACGAAGTGGAAAGAAGAGCTGCAAAACGCAAATTGAGTTCTTTTCATAGGGATTACGGATTCAGTATCGCTCACCAAGCGTTGTGACCACTGTATGAATAAGCGTGACGCGACGCGCTACACAAAGTTTATGTAATTGAACGCGTTCTGACCGGCCTAACACTCAAAAGGTT